CCCAGAGGAACAGAAAGATACTTAAGATTATCAGCTCTTCAGTACAATGACCATCTTTTTGTTCTGAACCTATTGCAATTGTTACCACAATACAAATACTAAACAACAACAACAAAAGCTAAAGGAACTTCTCTACTTGTAGTTAACCCAAAGACTAAAACACTTTTGTTTACAGCCTATTGTGCGATTCTGCATCAACTGTTCTTTGCATTATATAATAATAAAATATTATCTAGCTCTTTCATTAGTAGATCTGAAAACACTTTACAAACGAAGTCAGTTGCATTATTCCCATGTTACATATGGGAAAACTGAGGCACGGAGCAGTGCCGTGACTTGCCCAACGTCACAAAGCACACCAGCGGCAGAGCTGGGAATAGAAGCCAGGTCTCCTGAGTCTAGTCCAGTGTTCTGTCCACTAAGCCATATTGCCTCCTCATGAATCTTTTATACTCTCCCAATTATTTTGCACTTAAGTGAAGGCAGTAAACTCCATCTTTAATAATTACGAAATTTAAGCAAACTGAAAACATTTCACAGAATTATATGGGTCAAGTATTATAGTCATTAATAAATTTAAAAAACAGGTTTTTAACAAGTGTAGAGCATACCAAGAAAATCCCGAAAGAAAAATGACCAAAAAACAAGCCGCTTTGGTTCTCAGCACCAAAGTGGCTCCATGGGAAGATATTTGTTTGGTCTCCTGCACAATATTCCGTTATGGTTGCCATCTGCAAAATAGGGCGTACAGACTAAAGCACGGTAGTTTCAGTGACAGAATTTAGAGGACACGAAACGATGTTCTTTTCTATTTTTTAAGTAGGGTTTGAACTCCTTAACTGTCAGTATGGATAGCAGAGTTTGTAAGTCACTGACATAAACCAAATTGGAGGTGTTTGTCCTGGTGTAATGCCAACAGACCCCGGTCGTTATCGGCCGCAGGATCGAACTGGGGACCTCTGGCTCTAGAGCTTAGTGCATGAGCCTCTACCGCATGAGCTAAAAGCCAACTTGCTCTTAACTAAGGCTGTAAAGCAGACTCATTTAACTCTCTCTAAGTGGTCTCAGTGCCACTAGATGGGACACAACACCACACAACAAAGTCTCTCATCAACATACGTTAATGCCTTATTTCATGTCCCGTCAATCGCCAGAGTACCAGTGATAAATGCCACATGCCTCCCACTAAACAGAAATAGGCACATACCGTATAGTTTAGGGTGGCGAGCTGTACAGTAGTGAATATAATAAGTCTAATGCTCATAAAAGATGATAGGTTCAAGGTCTTGGAAAATGAAGTCTTTTGTTTATCCATTCAACAGGTGCAGCATGGTCAGTATCAGTAGACATTTCCTCACATTGCCTTGCCAATATGTCTCAAACCTGACCTGAAGGAACTGTCTCTAGGAGCAACATAGGTGTTCAGTCCCCCTTCCCTTTCTCATGAGACTATCAAAAGAGATCCCAATAAGTGCTACCTGTGATGTGCATGTATATCTATTAAGAACAGGACTATCACCAAACTCAGGCCACCTAGGAGTTGGCGGATGTGAACGACTTTCAGACATCGCCGCCTGAGCTAAACTTGAGTCAGTGACTTCCATGTGAAAATCTGACTTGAACAAAGACATGCTGTAAGTCTGCGGCAAAGACAGGAAGAGACTCCTCCCATCCATATATCCAGCCACCCAGACCTGTGCTTTTAACTGTCCATCCCCTACAAATATAGTTCTACCTTATTTAGCTCCACTGAACCATGGTTTCTGATCTTGTCATATTGTAGCTAATGGAAAGTTTACAGATGAGACACACAGAGAGATGAGTACAGAATGAGCAGTAGAGTCTAAATTACTTAGCGGAAGGCGAAGAGCAGTGGATAAAGGCTAGGTTGTTGTAGAGAGTGGAAATGCAGTTGGGATCACCTGGCAGGGCTGTGAAACAAGTTGCCAATTCTTCATCAGGCCAGGAGCTATGGAAGGAGATCTGGCAATATGGAATTTCTTACACAGAGAAAACTTGATATATAACGTACACTACTCAGGGCAGCAACAAAAGAAACTCGCACCATATAAACAGTATTAAAAAGGAATTCAAACTTTTTGAGGAATACCACTTCCAAAGAAGTTGGCAGAACTAGCTGAACTTATTTGAGCTTAATAAATCCAGAGTCCCTTCGTAGGTGGTTTATTGTCAGAGACAGAGTATCAGATCAACAGGAGCATGTTTAGTATGACACAATTACAGAACCTCAGAGAGTGAGATTGCATAATGCACACAGCAAGTGAGCTTTACATGATAAGCAAAGAGGGAAGTGAACAATCACAGCTTCAAACTTCCCCAAATGATCTTGGAAAACGACTAGTAATTATGACACGGACCAAATACAAACAAATGCTGCTGCCAAAGACAAACACTGGCAACAAGATCCAGATGCTGACAAGTCTGGACTTTAAGCATTTGTATTTAATATGAACCAAAATGTGACTCCCAGTTTACCCGGAAACAGATTCAGATTGTCTGATATTCCACCCACAACAGACTACTCTGAAAACTTATTTTACTGAAGCATGAATCATTACAAACCAAATGTCTCTCTCCGAAAGCTTTCCTCCAAAATATTTATGGACTTAAAAGGGAAACGTACAGTTGTAACTGAAGTGTTTGCAAATTATAAAACAGCTCAACACAGTGTATTCATAGACATATCCAGGATTCCTTAATCATCGCCTGAGATGTGATTCACCACTGATAGCATACAGAAGAGCCAACCACACCTCAGAGTGGGGAGGGAGTTCACCACTGCAGAGGGCAGAACTTCTCCTAGTGCTTCATCCCTTAGAACGGCTACCAGGGGAGGGCAACTTTAATCTATTGTCTGGAACCCACAGCAAGCCTGATTCCGCCTTCCCCCCAGAGCCTTCACCTCCTACTTTTGGGACCGTGTTGATTGATGGCCTTGAAGCAACCCAATTCACCTCCAGAAAGAGGTTCCATCACCAATTTCTCTGTACCTATTTTGCAACTTCATTTGAGCACCAAAGCCCAAGTTTAGTGTCGGTGCACTTTAACTTGGGACCAGTAACTGACCCAGAGACACATTCCACTGTAAATGTGGAGTCATTCCAGTGAGATGTTCTCCACACTGTTCTTTTCTGGCACCAATTTAGCCACTGTTGTGGCTTACCGTGGTACAAATATCGGCAGTGTAGATATCTTGAAATCAATGCAATGGGTCTGGACTTATACCAGACTTATCAATTCATAGATTTTTTTCAGCCCACAAAGGACTGTCTGATCTAATCTAACATCCTGTCTACCAGAGGCAATTAAATTTCACCCAGTTACTGAGCCTAATAACTTGTGTTTGACTAAAGACTATCTTCCAGGGAGGCATCCAGTCTTGATCTGAAGACATTCAGAGATATAAAATCCACCACTTCCCTTGGTACTTTGTTCCAATGGTTTAAAATCTGTGCCTAATATGATTAGCTTTAACTTCCAGCCATTGTTTTTTGTTATACCTCTCTCACCTAGATTAAAGAGCCCTTTAACCATTAGTACCGAGGTATTTTCTCCCCGTGAAGGTACTTCTACGCTGTGATCAAGTCCCATCTTGATCTTCTTTTTGTTAAACTAAACAGAGCTTTTAAGTTCCTCACTGTATGGCATTTTTTGCTGCCCTTGACTCATTTTTGTGGTTCTTTTCCTCATCCACCACAAGGGAGCAAGGGAGATTTAGGTTAAATATCAGGGAAAATGTTCTATCAGGGTAGTGAAGCTCTGGAATAGACTTCCAAGGGAGGTTGTGGGATCCCCATCATTGCAGGTTAAGAACAGGTTAGACCAGGGGTCTAAAACTCAAATGACCACGAGGGCCGCATGAGGACTAGTGCATTGGCCTGAGGACCACATCACTGACACCCACCCCTTGCTGCCTCTGGCCCCGCCCCCACTCCACCCCTTCCATGAGGCTCCGCCCCTGCCCAGCCTCTTCTCTGCCCCCATTCCAACCGCTTCCCCGAAGTCCTCACCCCAACTCTGCCCCCTCCCTGCCCCCAGGGGGTGCAGGAAGAGTGCGGGGTGTGGCGGGGGCTCAGGACAAGGAGTTGAGGTGTGGGAGGAGGGGTGAGGGGTGCGGCAGGGGGTCGGGGTGTAGGGTGCGGCAGGGGGCTCAGTGCACAGAGTACAGGAGGTGTGCAGGTGCGGCAGGGGGCTCAGGGCAGGGAGTTGGGGAGTGGGGTGCAGGAGGGGTGAGGGGTGCAGCAGGGAGTCAGGGGGCTCAGGGCACGGAGTGCAGGCCAATGGGAGCTGCGGGGGGCGGTACCTGGAAGCGACAGCACAGAGCCCTCTACTTCTCCCCCTCCCCCCGCCCTGCCCGGGGCTGCAGGGCCATAGTTCCAGCCGCTTCAGGGAGCGGCGCAGGGCTTGCGGCGCCACGGGGTAGGCAGAGGGGCGGGGGGCGCATGGGCGGGGGGGCACGGGGAGCTTTGCGGGCTGCACGAAAGAACCCGCGTGTTTGAGACCCCTGGGTTAGACTAACACCTGTCAGGCATAATCTAGGTTTACCTGGCCCTGCCTCAGAGCAGGGGGCTGGACTTGATGACTTCTTGAAGTCCCTTCCAACCCTACTTTTCTCTGATTCTGTTTTCAACTCCCTTTTAGAATATGAACGCTTGGGTGTGGTCTGCCAAAGCAGGAAAGCCGGGAAGGAGGAGGAATTGGAGACTGCTGGAATTTGAAGGGGTGCAGCTTTCCAAACAGTCCAGATCACGCAGTGTAACCTAGAATAGAATTTGGTCCCATTGTGTTTTAATGGAAGTAATGTGAATGGCTTTCAAATTCTATGAGGGTTAGTTTCTCTGATACATTCTCTACAATGGTATGCAGGTGATTTCTATCTAAAAATTTAAATGGGAGCATAGGATTATTTACATTGGGGGGGGGGCCTACATTTTTGGCAATATGGAACTGATGAGAATGTTTCTCTGAAATGACCTTACCTTTCATTTTGACTGTGTAAAAGGCAACAGCATCTCCATTCCTCCAGAATATTTTGGCAGACTCCTTGGCGGAATGAGATATGAAGAATGTATCATTAGCTGAACTCCTTTCTAACATTCCAAAAATAATGGAGTTGAGAACAAAGAGGACGATCCTTTCTCCAGATGTTTGGACCTTAGAGAAAAAACAAACAGACAAAAGAAAAATGAAGAGACTTCAGGGATTTTGCCTTCCAAAGAAAGTTTTGTTTTTGTTTTGTTTTTTAAGAGGGTGGTGAATGCGTCCCGCTCATTTGGGGTAAAAATGCCTCGTAAACCAGTTCAAATCATAGAAAGGTAGGGCTCGAAGGGACATCAAGAAGTCTTCAAGTCCAGCCCCCTGCTGAGGCAAGACCAAGTAAATCAGTCCAACCAGTTCTTAAAAGCCTCCAATGAGGGGGATTCCACAACCTCGCTTGGAAACGTATTCCATAGCTTAACTACCCTTATAGTAGAGTTTTTCCTAATAGCTAACCTAACACTCCCTTGCTTCAGATTAAATCCATTACTTCTTGTCCCACCTTCAGTGGCCATGGAGAATAACTGATCACCACCCTCTTCACAACAGCCCTTAATGTATCTGAAGACAGTGATTAGGTTCCCCCCCCTCAGTCTTCTTTTCTCAAGACTAAAGATGGTATAAGAAGAAATAATAATAATTGCCCTTAGATATCACCCTCCATTTATAAAGCTTGCCAATGCACCTGCAGAGTACACTTTCACAGATGGGGAAACTGAGGCACAGGGAGGTGACGTGATTTGCCCATGGTCACAGTGAACCAGTGGCTTAGCTGGATATAGAACTGGGGTGTCCTGGACTACCCACACTAGAAAGTGTACTAAAAGGAGAATACCTATGCTACCCTGTCTCTATTGACCGAAATGTGTGGGTATTGCATGTCACAGTAAACAACATATACCTGAGACAGAATTACCCAAAACATGTTAAAAGGGATCAAGGAGCCAAAATACTTTTTTCATACTCCACTGCTACAGAAGAAGCTTGAGAAACAGCTGTGTAGAGCCAGTGCTGCTATCCAAAAGCCTACCTGCAGATTGGGGGATGGATTTACTCCCCAAACCTCCCCCCTTAGTTCCCTATGCAAAACCTATTAAATCAGGCTGCCTATGGGGAGGGCTGAATTAAACCCTGCATGATTAAAAATGTCATAGAATCAGGGAAAGAATGGCACAGGAAAGGAGCCAGGAAACACCCAACTGGGAGACAGAGGGGTGGGTGGGAAACGTGAATAAAGAAAGACAAACTTGTTTGCCGCATGGCAATGCAAATCCTACATACACTAAGCAACTGACTTCTTAGCAGTTGTGAATAGATTAAATTAAAAGTCAGTAATATCTCTCCATCTGTTCTCCCAAAACAAGATTGTTGCATCAGAACAAGGGTATTTATTTGCAGAGAGAATAAAATAAAAAATCCACCTCTAAATAAGAACAGCTCAATAAATTAAATACAATCTAAAGAACATACAAGGCAGAAAGCTTTGTAAATGGCCAGATAAGACCCTGTGCCAAAGGGTAAGAAGACTGATCTTCACAACAGATGGTCAATCAAGCAGCACTACTGTGTAGGGTTATTGTAAATGCTTCTTTACCTGCTAAAGGGGGCAACCTCGAAAACAATGGGAGAGAGAATGACCAACAGATGAATCATGAATAGGACATGGAAAATTAATATTTATTCAGGAAGTGGGGGTGGCACTGTGAAGTAGGGAGACCAGGACCAGGCCAGAAGAGTATACAGTATAAAGCACAAAAGATATATAATATGATGAAAGACAAATCCAAACACACAGAGCACTATATGGTCATCACCAGGGGCGGCTCCAGGCACCAGCGCAGCAAACCTGGGGGCGGCAGTCAGGAGGCCTTCGGCGGCACGCCTGCGGGAGGTCTGCCGGTCCCACGGTTTCGGCAGCAATGCGGCGGTGGGTACGCCAAAGCCGCAGGACCGGCATTTCACCCGCAGAAACGTCGCCGAATCAGCGTGACCGCGGACCGCCTGCAGGCATGCCGCTGAAGGCCGCCTGACTGCCGTGCTTGGGGCGGCAACAAACCTAGAGCCGCCCCTGGTCATCACAGCTGGAATGCTTCACAATAAAGGCAATTGTCTGTACCTGTATAAGCCCTTCTCTAGAGGAATCAGCAGTCTTCACTATATCTTCAATGGGCCACCAGGACTGGTTAAGGTAAATTGCCAAAACTAAAAGAAGAAACGGGGACACATTAACTCAAAATAGTTGCTGCAAAGACCACTGTCAAGCAAATTCACTGGTGAGAGTAAAAGGAAGATCAACATTTGGAAAGCTGGTTGCCTGAATTTAGATACCTACATAAAAGTGGCCTGATTTTTCAGCAGGAAACCGAACACGGGTTTCAAGTCTAGGCTAGCGCCCTAACCACTGGATCATCGTTAAGGCTGCGAGTTTGTCATGGAAATCACGGAAGTCAGGGATTCTACGACTTTCCGTGACCTCCATGACTTCTGCAGCGGCCGGCACGCCTGGCTCAGGGCAGTGCGCCAGTCACACTGGCCACTGCTGGGGCAGTCTCGGGCCCCCTCTGCCCTCCCCCACCCTCAGCAGCAAAGTTTGGGTGTGGGAGGGGGCAGAGGACTGGGGCACCGGATGGGGTGAGGCAGGGTCTGGGCGGTGCTTACCTGGGAGACCCCCCAGAAGTGGCAACATCCCCCTTGCTCAGCTGCTAGGCAGAGGCATGGCCAGGCAGCTCTGCATGCTATCTCTGCCCAGGACACCGCCCCTGCAGCTCCCATTGGCCGGGAACCGCCGCCAATTGGAGCTGCAGGGGCGGTGCCTGCAGGCGGCAGCAGCATGCAGAGCTGCCTGACCACACCTCCGCCTAGGATGGAACTGAGTAAGGGGGGATGTCGCCACGTCCGGGGAGCCCCCCAGGTAAGCGCTGACCAGAGCCTGCCTCACCCCATCCGGTGCCCCAATCCTCTGCCCCCTCCACACACCCAAACTGAGTTGTCTGCTGCTGCTGGGGGGCGGGGAGGAGGGGAAGGTGCAAAGCCAGGTAAAGGAGCCTGCCGGCCCTGCCACCCCTGCCCCCCCAGTGGGGGTCCAGGCCACGCACCGTCGCACGTGCCCCCCAAGGACCTGGGCCGCCCTCCCCCAGCATCTGCGGGGCCGTCAGGCAGCCCTCCCCCCAAATTTTAGTCTCGAGTATTAAGTAAAAGTCATGGACAGGTCATGGGGCCATGAATTTTTGTTTACTGCCCATGATCTGTCCGTGACTTTTACTAAAAATACCCATGACTAAAATGTAGCCTTAATCATCGTGTCCCTCTAAACCATCCTACCAGGGAGCGAAGAACCATCCACCCAACCAAGGACAAATTTACAGACACGCAAATGAAAAAGCTTTAATCTGAGTGGCATCATTTACCTGTTTTAGCCCCAGGTTAGACAAATGTTTCTAATGTGCATAGGTTAGTTTCGCTTTTTTGCTTCAAGCTTTACTAGCTCCCAGTGGGCTTTGAGTCCGGGGTTATTGCTTAGTTAACCTATATTTTGAATAAATTATTAAGGTACATGCCAAAACGTGTTACACTTTGTGCCTTGAGTTTAACAAGGAAGGACCAACTGCAGATGCCTGTATATACCACCAGATCCAATTAATTAAATATTATGCACCTACTGGCATAGAGGTTTCATACACTTTCTATGATGGATTCAATCTGGTCCCTCAATCCCTTCACCCCACTTTCCAGTGCAAGCGGGACTGCTCCATTACATATCCATGAAACATGCAGCTACCAAAGAAAGCAGAGTCAGACAAAAGGACATAATGGGCCAAACATTGACTTCATTGGCAGCTGCATGAGGTTAACCCCAAAACGGATTTGGCATGAAACCTACACCCCCACCCTTACCCAACATACACACACTAAACACACAGTGTGATGATCAGAAAAGTTTGAAAAAACTTTGATGAAAATAGGGAGGTGCATAAACACATTGCAAGGAACTACTTGACTTTTATGGAACATTTACTGTGCTATTCAATAATTTAAGGGATTGGGGGGAGGATACACTAGTTGACATAGCAACTGTCACATCACATTACTTGGGCTACTTCGTCTTCTACAGAGATGCCTTCATTAATGAAAAACACTTCCCCAAATTCCATGTTATGTACGTACTTTCTTCTAAAATTATCATTTAAAGTAAACATCCAGTTCACAGTTTAACCTATGGATGTTTCCACACACTCTCATTCTCATCTTGTAAACAATTTTGTGGAAACCATTTTGAACACAGGTACGTTTCAGAAGATCAAGTTCTCCTTGATCTCATCCTTTCCATGTTTTATCGCTCTCCCCAAAACTGACATTTGATGAGTAGAGGACAAAAGGGATGATCAGCCATTCCACTACTGGATCTATGGTTCATGGAAAGTGGAGAGTATGTGAAATATCAGACCCACTGGCATTTTTTCCTTTTGTTGCTGTTGTAGATATTCGGCAGGATTGTGCTTAACAACATTGAACTGAACGAGGCCTAAAAAGGCTGTGACTGTGATTGTGCAATCTCTTCTATTGATTGGCAAAGAGAAGAATTCCTCCCCCCCACCCCCCCACAGGACTGCATTTAATTTTCACTTCCTACTGTACAGTGGCCAAATGTTGCTACATTCATATACAAGTCTTTCCATTTTATCTCTTTGAATCAGATGCCCAAATACAGAGAAAAGTGAGAAAATTCAAGTAACATCCAGCATGGGGTTTCTTTTTCTCCACTCTTCCCCTGAATCTGACCTCAAACATACATTTTTGAGACCCCAGGGAAGCATGGGATCCAATCTAATTTGAAGCCAACACTACTTTTTTTTTTTAAAGGAGGTATACAGTATTTGCACTGTTTCTTACAATATCCGAGCTAGACATTCCACAGTTCTTGCAGTTATTATTCTATTTATTCCTGAAAATTTTGGTGCTTTATGGTGGGCACAGGACTTCAAGATACCTGCCATTTATTTTGCCTCCATTCTCAGTAAGCTGAGTCTAATAGTACTTCCCTACCTTACAGGGGTGCTCTCAGGGTAAATATATTAAAGATAGTGAGGCGCTGAGATACTACTAATGGGAACCAGATAAGTACCAGAAATAGATTCACTGCAACCAGATTATGTTTTCCCACTACAATTAATTTTTTTCCCAGTGATTTGTTGTGACTATCCTATGATAAATGTTCTGTGGCATCTAGCAGTTACTAGAAATCATGCTCACTGAAAAATATGTCCAGCAGGGACAGCACATTCAGTATTTAGAATGTTAATTTAGGGTTGTAAAGATATTAATCACCCATACTATGTTCTAGTAGCCCTTGCAACACAATTTACATTCTCATATAAATGTTCATGGTAACACACAGCCCATCGTAAACAAACAAACATCTCCAACCCAAATAAAGACTGAGAGTGACTTCTGTGGAAGAGCTACCCAAATATTTCTCTCCACTGCATACCATCCACTTCAGATCTTGTTTAGACATAGAGACTGGAATCTAAATCCCTGCACCCTATCACATATCATTACCATACTGTAATAATATTAAAGACTAAGGGAAACTTCAGAATGATGTCAAATGTATGGCATTTAGCAAAGCTGACTGTGAAGTAACTATTTAGGCTGAATGTTACAAAAAAGGCATGGCTCATTCAAATCAAACCACTCATATGGTCATATGAATATAAAATACAATAATGAAATAAGCATTAAACTTTGCATTTATTAAAACACCAATTTACATAAAATGGACAGACTTAAAACATGTGGGGTTATTGGGGGGGGAAATCAAAAGCTGACAAAAATAATCTGCTACCTGGAAAAGCATTTGGAAAATTACAGTTAAAATGCTTCTGTATACAAGAAAGGATCTACGGGGTGACTTCACAGAGTTTATGAATATGTATTATAGTGCATTCTTTATAAAGAAAAATATAAAGTTTGGTATAATAGGAAACATTTTTAAAATACATGGAGTTTTGCCATGTGTTATCAGTATATAAACCACGGAGAGAGAATGTCAAGTAAAGTCCTATTAAATGCATATTTAAAGGGTACTACTAAAAAACAGATTACGTAGCCCTTACTTAAATGAGTAATCTTGTTAATCCCAGTGGAACTACAGGATCAGACCCAAGGTTTGCAAGAATTTTATACAATCATCTCCCACACATGAGATTTAAAGTCCTCCTGCTGCTTACTACACAGAGAAGTCCCTATTCTGCTATGTTTAAGCATTTATTGTAAATAACTATTAGGAAGTTTAGTCTCCAGAACTCATGTGTTTGACGTGGTGATAGACCTTGTTTCTTTGTGTACACAGATCTCATCAATTCATAGTGTTTCTATTACTACTCGACTAAGTTGCTAAATATTCATGCTGTATGCACTCTATTTCTTTCACCTGTATATAGTCAATGATTCTTCATGATCCCTTTTTGGATATCGTTAGGCATTATTATAGCTATGCATCCCCCTTCTTGAACAAACCAATCTGCCTCATCACTGTTCTCAGTTATTCCCATTTGAAGTCAAATTGATAGAGATGCACAATGGCAATTACACTCAAAATTAGGCCTGCAGTAGGTAGAGTTCTTTTTTCCCCTAAATGGTATATCAGTGCTGATATTCCGTTCATGCAAATGTTAATACTGATGTGTAAACCACTGTCAGGAAAGGATCTGTAGCTTTAAAGGAACCATAAAGTTCTTTGGCTATGTCTGTGTGCCAGGAAGTTTCTCTCTTTCTGCTGACTGAATTACAGCCAGTTAGTGAATTATCAGGCCAGCACGGGAGAGTACATGGAATGGGAGGTTCTTCTGAAGTACAATGTAAAAGCAGCCGCAGGTGAGTTTAATCTATTTTTTGTTCTTGTGAGAAAACTTCCAGCTTCCAGTTTTTTTAGCTGTGATGGGGTCTGAGTCAGCCAACTGAACCAGCATGTGATAACAGAGCACAGTATAAAGTTCACATTTTAACATAGCATAGGACAGTTATCTGACACATTAAGGACTGGACCCTGAACACTAGCTTGCCTTATCTTTGTTTGTAATATTTCTTATAACAATAATATTGGCTGCAAATCTTTTCTATTGAAAATGTATAGCTTATACCTTCAGAAATAAAATGCTTAGAGGCACTTTGAATTGCAGTGGTGTTTTTAGCTTATTGCTGTATTGTGGGAGAAGAGGGACTAAGAGTAAAAAGCACAGATTGTAGAGTGGTGTGAGTGCCAAACAGAGTTTGGAGTGAGCAAAAGACACCTTGGTTTAACATTTTCTGACTTCCCGATACATATTATACCCTTATACATAAATATTAAAGAAGGGTTAAATAAAAGTTTGCCTCCCCAGATAGGACTTGAACTCTTGTGGATCTTAGACAGTTGGGACAAGCTTATCCAACGGGGGGACTATTTAATACATTGGCCTGGTGTACATGACAGTTTCTTTCTAGTAGCTTCTCCCAAGACTATATAACCTCCTGTTTTCCAGCAGCTCAAAGAGCTCTCTTTTAGTTCAAGCAGTAGAAGCCTGTGCTTTTGGTGCTAAATGACTTGGATTCAATCCCTGCTGAAGACTATGGCATCATAGCTTGCTATTTATTTTCAGTGTTGTAAGTCCCAGACAGGGTTATGGCCACACAGTCTATTGACTGATGGAGTTAAACAGAAAGAAACCAGAATGTGTGTAGGAACACACACACTGTGTAAAGCAGTGATCCTTGATGGGTGGACAAAAAAACTAAGATGTAATCATAACCCAATCCCTAGGACCTGGTGATAACCCAGCCAATGACTTGTGGAGTAGAAATGCCAGTAAGCACACAACCATTTCTAGGAATAACAACTGCAATGATGTGTCCATTTAAGGTCACCATATGGCTGTAACAAGAAAAACTCCAGCATTACTAGTAGTAAGTAGTGCATAAACTGGCACAGAGTTTAAAGCAGACTGCTGGAGATCTGCCAATAAAATGAGTTTAATTCAATTCCTGACTGCATGTCTGGATTTACCTCTCACAAGACAGTCCAGAAATATGGGCCAATTAAACCTAGAACTGAGGAGGTGGCTACCACAAAGGAAAAATACAAAATACAGGAATGTTAGTAAGCTACAATCTATCATAACATATCAGAATTTTTTGCACTTCTATATGTCCTATCTTTCAAGAATCTCAAAGCTCAAACCAAACATTAATTAAGTTTCACAACATCCCTGTGAGATAGAAATGTATGATTATCCCCATTGTACAAATGCAGAGAGAGAGGAAGAGAGATTTACCCAAGACTAGTCTAGTCAGCAGCTGAACTGGGAACAGAACCCAGAGACCTGACTGCCAATCTCCCACTCTAGCCATTCGACTGCCTGCACAGATTGCCTTTTAAAACATTTTCTTTACATATTAGCTAAATCTACTTCATGTTCAAAACACGGCATGTAGTTCAAGTACTGTTGTTCTAGAAATTTGCTTACATCCACTGGGCGTTTAAGTAAGACAAAAAGTATAATCATTCCATTTTCAAAATATATTGACACAAATCTCACCTCTTTCTTTAGCCTGTGGATCTACTAACACCAAAATTTTAAATTTTGGCTCTTCTCGGTACACAGGAAGGAAACACACACAGGAATCTTCAAGTTTAACCTAAAAACAGGCATTTAGCTGTTTTAAGCTGTTGAGCTGGCAAAAAAGCAATTATAAGAAGCACATACAGTAGGTCTTACTACACGTTAGCAAGGTGGACTATTCAAAGTAACAACTTGCACCTGGAACCAGCGTTCACCAATTCATCAATGTCAGAACATTAGGGACAAGTATATTTGTTTCTCCACTGAGCTACTTAGGAAATGTAACTCTGCATACTGCATGTGACCTTCCTGAGAAATCTTAGTATCTTCTGTTGATTCGATCTCTTTCTTTGCATGCTGCAAATACATCATCACAGTGGTACCCGCGAACACTGCCTTAAGTAAAAGTCAGGTGCTGTTTTTATGTCAAATCCTGCTGTTTTGATTTTGATTTGTGAGTTAATTTAGCAGTCATGAAAGTGAGAGACAAACAGCACAAGCATGAATCTGGCATAGCTGGACCAGCTTTCCCTGCACAGAACTCTGCCAATGCACTTCCACCCTGACCTGCAATAATCCTCTTGAGCAAGGCTGCCAACTAGGACACGCTGTACAGTGGTCTGAGTAAATGGGATGACAACAATCTAATATGCATTAAAGAACTAAATGGCCCATTGGCCCCATCACCTGAGACAGGTTTTAACCTAGGTCTACAGAAGCAAAAGGCTCAGGCACTAGTCAGACTAACTAGGGACTAGTCAATCGCAGCAATCTTCATCCCTAAATTCTTAGGTGTATATTATCCCAGAGTAGGGGTAATAGAGGTTGTTAGCTCAGATATCTATGGTCTTCTTGGAGGGAGATAAGTTCAGTTTATTTTTGATTTATAAAATATCAGAATTCATTGAAGCATTTATTACAGTTTATAGGACAGAAAGAAACAGCTAGAAAATTCTGGTTACTTATGCTCCTTATTAATTGTATTATTCTGCATGTGCAGATCAGACAAGAACAAAATTAAATATAAAATCAAGTCTAAAGCCAAAACTCCATTCTTTAGCTCTAGCTAGTGTGGAGACGCAGCATTGCTTAGTGTTCTAAGCCCCCCATCCCCTAACTCAGGGGTGGCCAACCTGTGGCTCCAGAGCCCACATGCAGCTCTTCAGAAATTAATATGCGGCTCCTTGTATAGGCACTGACTCCAGGGCTGGAGCTACATGCGCCAACTTTCCAATGTGCCAGGGGGTACTCACTGCTTAACCCCTGGCTCTGCCACAGGCCCTGCCCCCACTCCACCCCTTCCCACCCCCTCCCCTGAGCCTGACATGTCCTCGCTCCTCCCTCTCCCCCCACAGAGCCTCCTGCACACCACGAAACAGCTGATCGGGAGGTGCGGGGATGAAGGGGGAGGTGCTGATCGGCGGGGCTGCCGGTGGGTGGGAGGCTTAGGGGGGGGGGGGGGCTGACGTATTACTGTGGCTCTTTGGAAATGTACTTTGGTAAATTCTGGCTCTTTCTCAGGCTCAGGTTGGCCACCCCTGCCCTAACTGAACACCAGATGGGCAAGTAAAACTGCATCCCTGCATGACGGGTTAAGCTAACGACAGAGTAACAGCCCTTTGTATTTAACCTTACAGATGGTTATGATCTTGGTCCACTAGAGGGCATTAAAAGAATACTGTAAGACGAGTCACCCTTACTTCTCAGACAATATGAAAGTTACCCCACCCACATGAACTGTCTTTTTCTAGAAATTACTACAAAATATTTTCCAAAACTGTTTAGAAGCCACCATATTCCACACAAAACGTTATTTCAACTAAGTGGCATTGCTTCAGCACTGTGTAATGATATAAACACAGCTGGTCCAACAGAAACTTTCATTGCGTAGAAAGGGGCCCACATACTGAAAGGTTTCATACAATGACTGAAGTTAGAAATGAAAAAGACCTATCTAGTCATATCCTGCCCGTCTCCCGGCCAATGCAGGATTGGTCCCTGCAGCTCTATCACTGAAGAGTTTTTATTCAATCTGTCAACCATTTCTGATCAGAGCTTGCGTGAAAGAGCACACATTAGAAAATTTCATTGTGTTTATTGCTGACTCACAACAGTAAGAACAAATCTCTACAACAGTAAGGAAATTCACTACCTCATTTAAACTAGCCTGAACAGCACAAGATGGGCCAAGAGCTGCAGATTTTGGTTCAATCCCAATTTGGACTTCAAATTTTGGTGGTTTTCAGATCTAGTTTTTTGGTTTGAGTTTACCTCTAGTCTATGAGGGTAAAATATTTACAATCTGATTGACTGAATCTGAAACTTTAAGTGATTTTTATCCTTGCCACACTAGCCTAGCTATATTCAAACAGATTCTGGCCACTAGCACTTGAAACTGCCTTTCATCAATATCTAAACACACTTTCTATTTGGGAAATGTAATTATATTACCTTCTCTCCACCAGGAATGGAAAAAAACTCAGGAGATGATGAAGCTTGCTGCAAAAGTTTTTCATAGTAGGCCTCAGCTGCTTCTTGGATAACCTCAGGATTACCTGCTAAAATATCGACTGGATAAAGGTGTCCTATGGATAAAATAATATACAAGGTCATTTCTTTTGTAATGAAAATAGCTACATTCATTGTAAAACCCTGAACCTGCAAAAGGGTCTGAGTGGGTGGACCCTTATGCACCCCGATAGCCTTTTGTAGAATCATGGCCTAAAACGGAAGAGAGTAAAATTGCATCTATCTTCTCATGTTATTTAAGCTCATTTTTGCCGAACAGAACCATGGCAGTATCAGTCCACATTCGCTGCCTTTCAGTTCAACAGGGACTTTGTTAAATGTGTGTAGATAATTCAACCTCCTGCTCAACTTAAAGTGGGAGAGCACAGATCAAAGTGATGTTCTTAAAAATGCAGCCCCTGATTGTTAATGCTTATCTAAAAATAAAACAGGGGGAAATACCTCCTCAGAGCTTTTGCCATTTTTGGGAGGCCTTTTACAAGTCAATCTGTGTCTGCTGCGTACAATTACAGCACCACTCTCTCTTTCTGTAGAGTCATTTCTACTGGTCATAGTCACGATGATGAATACAATCCAGAGAAAAAGTACTCACAGAGGCATTCCCATAATAATTAGTATCTTTTTAATGCAATTATGGGGCTCACTGCTGCAGGATATTACTTAAAGATATAGGTTAGTAGTATGCAATAGATATATATGAATAAGAATATTAATTTTCACACCATCTTAGAT